GTGCAACCCTCATTCTATTCTTGCTACATCAAATTTCATGTAACCTATCAGTATAATAAATTTTAACTAATAAAAATCCACATGACAATAGGGTGAATCAATGTATACTCAAAGTCTTTAAGGTCAAATACCTACTCCACATAATACAAGTCTCTTAGTTTAACAAGCCTTAGATCAACCATGTTATTCAAGATGTTGTATGCATCTCCACTTAACAAAATACCAATTGTTTTACACACTATCAAACATAATACATTCTCAAAGAAATACTAAAGATGAAACTCAAAAACCTATGCACATGGTATCTAACTCATAGTACTCCTTCAAGTTTATAATTGATCTTAACCTTAATTAGTAAAAAGGAAGTAGCATATCAACTTCTTAAACTTGTGTGAATGCACAAAGCTCAATCTCATATTTAGTGTAGAACTCATTAAGCCACTATAGGACATCAAATAAAGTTAAACAGTAACACTCTCTCTCTTGCATAAGGGTCATGAAATGTTCAATCAGATCTTCCCTAATTGATAATGCAAGCATTTTAGTGCCCTTCAATTCAATGAGCAAAAAAACCTTTATTAACAAACATGACAGTAGCCAAAAATAACGCCAACAATGTTAAGAAAAGATGGAGAAGACCTAAACATCGACTAACATGTAATCTATGGACACCAATCACTTCAACTACCTAAAACTAGCATCAAGATGATTCTCATAAACTCTCTTAAATGCCCATAGCATACAAACCTTGACAGATTAAGTACTGCTCAAAGGATTGATGTCAACCAAGTTCACACGCCTTATATTTTCAACTTCATGTTTTTCAATTCTGATAAGGAAATCCTATTTTAGAAGGAGAAAGTCAGAAGATTTTGAATAATAAAGAAAGCGATGCACATAAAAACTACCAAACTCAAACATTCATATGCATTAGCACTTATACGCCTCATTTAATTAATGCCAGGCAGAGATACCAAGGCCAAATCCAACGATCTACATAAAAAAAAACACCAAGAAAATTTATAAAATACTCTTTACTTACAACTCTAGTGATATTGGAGTTCATGTACCATAACCCCCACTACCTCATAGATTTTCAAAGTATGAATGTTTGAAATACAATGTAGGTATGTGTTAATTGGGATAGATTGGATAGATGACACAAAATTAACTCCATGAACACTTGCCTTTTCTTAAGATTCCTATTCATAGGATGACGATAGAAGCCCTGCTTTAAAGTAGCATATGGGTGGTGATGCAAGAGAAGGTTTGAGAGAAGCACAAGATGTTTAATTCCTCAATCTCTTTTTCAAATGATTTTCCCTCATCTCCTCAACTAGTTCAGACCTCATCTTTAGGAAGGTGTACTCATGAAGTAAATGCAACATCAACCACATGACCAAGAGACCATGGCTAAGACTCCTTAGAACCCCCCAATAAAAAGATGAGCCTTAGGAAAAATATAAAGGTTTTTCTAATTGAAGATGTGGCATGAAGATATAAACTAATATAATGAAGAAAAACCAATAGCTAATGAAACATGATAAGCCAAACTATCTCCCATCTAATTCCATTTGTCTATAGTGAAAAGAAAAAAAATAGAAATAAAAGAGGGAAACTCACAATCAAGGACCCCTAGAGACAATTAATTACACTGCAAAACCAAATAATTTTGATATTACTCTGCAGGACCAAAGTACAACCTTTTTTGTGAAAAGACAAAAATACCCTTTATGTGTATATTATACTCTTTTAACAACAACCCTCCATTCGAACAAAAAACAAGCCATATTCACATCTTAACAACAATCAATTCCCTTATTAACAACTCTAAAAAATTAACTTGGTGTTGAAGAGGAACAAATGTTTTAATTTGATGAATAAGTCCTCATTCGAGAAAAAAAAAACTCATTTTCATTTTAACAACAAACAATTCCATTATTAGCAACTCTAATCCAAAAAATTAGCTTGGTGGTGGAGAGGAAGTGTTGTGATTCAGTGAACAAGTCTTCATTTGAGAAAAAATAATTCCTATTTTCATTCTAATAACAATCAATTCCTTCATTAGCAAATACAAAATATTAATTTGATAAACAAGTTTCCATTCAAAAAAAAACAAGTCCCTTGTCACAATAAAAACAATATCATTTTAACAACAATCAATTCCTATCAAAACAAAAATACATCAAGGGTAGTGTTGTCTTTTTATAAAAAATTTTAATTACATTTAAGTCCTTTGGTCTTGCAGAGTAATAACAGAATCCTTTGGTCTTGTAGCATAATTAATTGTCTCTAGGGTTCCTTGATTGTGATTTTCCCATGAAAATAACATAACTTTGAAAAATGAAAATTGATGCCAGCTATGTTGAAGGTAGAGCCGGTAATTTAAGTGTGTCAGCTTTATTTGAGCTAGGTTTAAAATATCCTACCCTTTCTAAAAAGCTCATATAGACAAGCCCAACCCTAACACCTTTAGGCTTTGGGCTTATTCTAGCCGGCTCAAATACCCATAACTTCTTTAAAATACTTTTGCTTTATTTTTGAACCAATTTTAATTTTTAAATAATTCTATTAGGCATAAAATATTATTTTATCTTTATAATAATAAAATAAAAAATAACAACTTATCAAATTTGTACTTAAGTAGCATTGTTATTATTTTATTATAATATGTATAATTTATTCATGAATATTTCCTTTAAATGTAAATTAATGTCTTAATTGTTTAAATATTTCTCTTATCATGGTCATATATAAATATTTTATATATTTTAATTAAATTAAATTATTTTAATCATGATCAAGTTAATCTCAATTCAATCATGGTTAGATCACTAACTTAAAAAATTTTTTTAATAATTTTTGGATAAACTATACATTTTGTTTTTAAGAATATGAGAAAGTATCAATCACTATATTATATAAAACAAAATCATTTAATCATAAGTAAAATGTTATTTTTTGAAATTATTTCTTTGTAACTTTTTATATTGTTTAACCCCTACATATAAGGGGTATTTACTCTAATTTATTCTTAATTTTTAACCAAGTCTAGTGTGAATGATAACAAAATAATTATTCAAGAATATTATTCTATTTATTATGTTTATTTAGTAGTAGAGTTGAGAATTCATACATGCTTGAATTTTATTTTTAAAATTATTTTTAATTTAAAATCAATTACCTTATTTCATAAAAACTACTCTCTTCATTTAAAATGTAATGCATTTTTAATCAAATCTCACCTCTTAATAAAGTAGCTACCTACTTTCCAACTAATCATATCTTTTTTTATTTACCCTTATTAAACACCCTACAATAAATATAAAGTCATTAAGCACTTAAAAAAAAGATAATAATTACACGTCAAAAGATTAAAAATGTCTTACATTTTTTAACATTTAACTCGTCAAAAAGTACCTTATATTTTTGAATGGAGGGAGTATAAAATATATTTTTTGGATACAAAAATGATGTATAGGACCTCAACTTTTTTAAAAAAATTGGCTTTTAAAATATAAAAATAAATATTAAAATATATTTTAAATATTAATTTGAGATATTTTATTGATTAAAAATAATAAAAATAGAAAATATAAATATTTTTAATTTTTTGTTAAATAACTCTAGTAATGCACTCAAATGTATGGTATTTTAATACAAAATAACATAAAACTTAAAGAATTAACTAATATTTATTATATTTTATATATATTTTTAAACATTTTATTTTTTTCATTCGGGCCGATCGGGCTTGGCTCGAATTTTCTTGGGCCTATTTAGGTTGGCCTAAATAGGCTCAAACATTAAAAAATTAGCATTTTTTCTTGGCCTTGAATTTTTTGGGCGAACTTTGGTTGATCTATCAGGCTTGGCCTAAATTACCGACCTAATTGAAGATGGTATACCAATGTAAAAAAAAAATAGATAATATTTTAAAAAGTAATAAATTAATAATTAAAACCTTCTCTTTCCTCTGGTACACAATGGAGAGAAGACATTGTGGAATATGGACAGGACAAGAAAATTTGATACGCGAGGAAAAAATGGGAAGCTAATGCAATATGCGGGAAATTAAACAAAGACAAAAGGATACGAAGCATAAGACATGCTAATGAACAGTCTTTTAGCCGACCCTATTCAGTGATACAGGAGATTGAGTCTGAAGCCGGTAACATTTGTTGTTTGGCTGGAGGAGTAATAAGAAATATATTGATCATGTTTGAAGCACGTATGGTCATACATTAAATGTGGACGAATCTCCTAGCAAAATTCAAGTGTTAAACTTAATCAACTAAAATAATTTTTCTTAATTTTGAATCAACAGGCCCTTTGGCAAAGACAGAAAGTGGATGAATTCTTGGTGGTATGTTTTGTAATTTAAAATTTATTTCATTGCACTTTTGCCAATCCTGACAATTATAATTCATCTTAAAATTACTCTCTGCATGAGTGTATGAAGTTTCGGTCATTGTGGACAGACTCTATTATGGATTTCGGACCACATTTTCCTTAGAGCCCTCTTATCTATTCCTTCTCCAAGCTCGGGTTATGGATGAAGGAATCAAGCAGAAAATATCAGCAACAACTGGTTTATTCCTTATTTAGGTGGATTTCCAAGCTATGATTCTACTGAGAATTAGAATAATCTGGATTCTGGAATGCTAGAATCTTGTGGACATAATGCTACTACATATAGGTCTATATATACATATATAATATGTTATCAATTATAAATTCTTCATTTTGTAACCACTGACAAATTATTTGTTGGTAGATTTAACTAAAAAGAAAAGAAAGGAAAGAAAAGCCCCCGCGGCCAAGTGTGTGTAAGAAAATATCTAATCTGAGTTCACATGTCATTATACCCAAAAACCCACTTTCTTGTTCAGAAGATACAACAATCATCTAACAGATAAATGACAAATATTCTATGATAGCTATATTGAATAACGGCATAAAGTTTCTCCAATCCAATGCAATCTATAAAAATAATATTGTTAAAACATCTCTTGCTCTGGAATATTTTGACTCAGAATTTGTGCTAATACTAGCCGTTGTCTTCTTCCAAGTATAAGGTCTAGAAGTAGTTGCCCTATAATTTTCAGCCTATACTTGATGGTCATGATTGGATATTGCGTTAAACCAGAGATGATGAAAGGGAGAACCATCACAAAGTAAACCCAAAATGAAATCCAGTTCATTTTCTTCTGGCCAACGGTGAGTAAAATTGTTGACCCAAAAGTCAGCATAGTGGTCATCAAAGAGACTAACATCCACCCAAAGCCATCTGCGAGGTTTAGTGGGAGGTCCTCATACAAATCTTGCATCCGAAACGGCGACGTAAGTATGGAGAGGAACATCATCACTGACAACAGAGAGCTTGCCAAGGCTATAGCGTCAGCGGTATAGAAAAAGCGAAAGACAAGTGAGTTGCGTAAGATGGGGGAGCCATCGTTATTGTTGCCGCCAGGGACGGTGTACATTGCAGCAAAGACGACGGTGGCGATGAGAACGACGACGGTGGAGCATGACTGAGCTGTCTGCTTTATCCAGTCTGTGGCTTCTTTGAGCATGGCCGAATGTTCTTGTTCAAACATCTCTCTAGCTGTTATATTGTCGTCATTGCGATACAAGTCGACACCACCAGGAATTATCTTCCGTACTCGCTGCCAAATGAACAAGATTAAGAGAAAAATGTCAAAGCTCAATACTAATGTATTATTCATTTAATCATGATTACAAGGATTCTGATCTTTATGTATTAAACACGAGTAACAGAATTCATTTAGACAGTTATTATAGGCCCATACTACAAAGGACCATATATCCATAAATCACTTAACACTCGCTGCATAGTACAGTTATAGAGTCAGGATCGATGCATAAATGAGGCAAAAAAATTTCTTCACCGTTAAAGGGTGATGTGGACCAAATTGCTTGACTTATTTTGCCAACATGTCGAGAAGCAATTTGGTCCATATCAGCATTGAACGATCAAATTCAACTTTAGTTAATGGCAAGAGCAAAAATGATCCAATTTTGAGAGCTCAAGGGAAAGAACGTATCACAGAGAGTTCCAGAGCAAAACTGAGAAGATCACGACTAACATGAATTAGAGGTGGAAAATATGAACTAATTTAACAAGATTAGTCAATGCTTACTTGGAACCAATGGAGCTCATCCCGAAGTCGGAAGACAACACCAGCTTGGTCACCTGGTTGGTAGAAGTCTATCTTTGCAGCTTGGTGCAAGAGAGTGCAACCTCCACTACTGATTCCGACAGCCAAGCTCCTGAGGACTCCATATTTCTTGAGGGGCTTGTAGATTTTCTTTTGGCGATGCTTCACAGTCACGTGCAGAATGTTTTGCCCATCATGACTCACGTGATAAATGGAAGCTGGATGAAGGTCAATGATTTCCTTCACGATTTCTTCTATTCCTGTGCTTGCTGCTAGAAGCAATGGCGTATAGTAAATGGGCTTTTCAGAAGCTTGTGTCTCCTCATCATCGTCTTTGACTTTCTTCCTTGTAGTCGCAATACTGGAGGGCTGAATCACGGGCAACATAGCCTCTTTTCGTGGCATTACAGGATTTGTAGACATCCACGAGTCATCATTCATCACGAGAAAGTCTACAATCTCCTCGGCTAGTTCGTGCTTCTCCTTTTTATTCCTAATCTGCTCGAGTCGATCATCTGATTGTATAGACACATACAGATCAAACATTATCAAACAAGGTTTGAGGGCGGAGGCAAGGGGACCAAGAATTTAATTTATTCTCTCTTCCATGTTATGCAAAATAATTGTTCGAACATCGAACGTTATGATCGATGTGCGCACCATGTTGCTGCTATAAAGGGAATTTGGTTGGACCTTGTGCAAATAAAATTCTATGAAGAGCTATGGGGACTTCTGTTTTATATAACAGGTCCATGTGCTTTGTATTTTGTTTCTAGTCTTTGAGCTTTATTTCATTATTTCCAATCCTTTTAATTTGATCAATCAACAACGTTTCAGGCCCCCAAAAAAAAGAAAGAAAGAAAGAAAGAAAGATCAACCTACATTAGTCCATGCAATTTTAAAAATGTATACATCCACGAAGATAACTTCACCGTAATGCTAGGGCTGTTTAGTTTTAATTTTTACAAAAAAGGGGCAGCCCACCATCAAGCCCAGCTAATATTCCCAGTTTCAGTTTACAATTTCGCCCATCATTCAAAATTAATATTTAATAGAGAGAAATTAAAATTGCTACAATAACTTATCATCATTACTAATAGGGCATTTGAGGAGAAAAGGTCAATTTCAAACACAAATAAAATGAATAATCAACTTTTTTAATATTAGTGAAATAATTTTTCTTTATCGTTAGGCAAGGATTTATTGTTAGTGACGGGACAAATTCCGCATGGGTGAAACTATTTTTCTTGGTATATACTTCCTCCATTCAATACTGTATAAGATATTAATTTTTACTGAATTACACCCTTAATGAGTTTGTTACTTGTTCTTAAAATTACGCTGGTAAAAGAAAATTGTTTTTAAAATTACACTTTATTTTTATATTTATCTTTATTTAATTAGGTATCTCAATTAAAATACTTTATTAATTACATCTATTGTTAAAGGTATTTTTAAACAATGTTATTAATTTTACCTTGAAAGATTCAAAATATCTTATATTTTTAACATGATATTAAAAAATATATATATATCGTTTAATATTGAAGGGAGGGATATAGTCCATAAAAATTTGTGATATCCTGTAACAAAGAGACTTAAATCGCTTAAAAGTGACTTCTAATTATTGCCAACAATTAGCGTGGAAAAAGACGTATGATACTGACCTATACCGAGTCGATATATTAAAGTATCAACTTCTGTATGGCGGATAAAATTTCGTAGTATCATATAACTTCTCTGACGGCCGATGAAATTTGGTGGTATCATAGAATATATGCGGTGGATTGAAATTTCTGGTATCGAAGTTATCAGGAGCATAAATGCCCAGAACTTCAATATTCCTGCAAAATATTTTGTTCAACATGGTCAGAGAAGATCATCAGATCAGTTCTAAAATGAGCTACATAAAACAATTTTTTGTTCATGATTTGTACCACCAAAGATGATGAAATGCATTTTCATCACTTTGCCGCTTTCTGTCTCGTTTCTGTCTAAGAAGTTTATCATCATCACCATCATCATGATCATCATCATTTTTGCAGTCTATATGTCCTTTCTGCTTTAGGAGTTTATCATCATCATCATTGCTGATATGTGATCTTTTGGCATGACGACTTGTTATCAAATTTTATGTGGAAGAGACAAAGTTTAAGAGTAATTTGTTTCCTAATTATGTTCATTCAATATTCAATATATGAGAGTTAAAATGGGAATAAAAAAAACCTAATGATTACAAAATACAAAATATAATCCACAATTGAGGATGATAATCACATTAGGTGACCTAAATAAAATACGAAATTATACCCAATTAAAAATCACTAATAAACTATAATCAAATTGCATATTCGTTGTGTGCATATGTATCATGACTTTTCATAACCTTGCAGATATATACAAGAAAGTGAAATTAGATATAAGTTCATCTATATTATTTTAAACCGGCCTCTTAAATTTACCTTACAATTAGGTCTTTAAGTTTCAATCCGTCACATATTTAAACAGTTAATTCCATCAACTAAGTATTGTCCCCAAAAAAAAAAAAAAACAAATCTATCATTTGTATATAAACGAACAGGTGTTTTTAGAGAAGACTATGTCTCCAACAATTTTTTTTTAATAGGAGGATATTTTGTACATAATTAAAAAAAAAAATCATTGGCTAGAAGTGACTCAATGGCTGATTGAAAAAAGAGAAAGAGAGATGTCTTACTAAAGAGAAATACAAGACGCTCGCGATAATCAATAAAATCAATGAACTCATCCATCAACCCAGTGCTGGAAGGGCTCCTGAAAACAGACGGCATTCCACATAGCAGTTAAAGACAGGTCAATCCATGTCTATTCTCTGCACGGACTACTTTGTCAATGCCTTCAACCCTCAATAATCACAGAGCAACCTCTGCAACATTAAATTAAATTTCTTATTCGATGATATTAGTCAATTATTTAAGCTAGCATGCCAATTAAGGAAAGATCAAAGGACCACCGAAAGCATGAATGATGTTGGCAGGGTAGAGAGAATAATATAATTATAGATACTTAATTGAAACTGAATTGAATGCTCCATCTATATAACTACAAATATAATCATGGACAGATACAAGAGGGAAGCAGGGGTCACTGCTCCCATCATATAAATTTTCCCTGAAAAATGTGTTTATTTTAATTTGTAACACATGAAAAATAATTTTGACCCCACTTTCTTGTAACCTTTCATTTTTTTTCCCCTGTATTTATCAACTTCTAGATCTGTCCCAGTCCATAACCCCTATTATCTCTATATAACTCTCAAATGCATAAATTTTTTTTAACTAAGTTATTTTTGTATAATAAATGCTAATAGGTGCTAATTGTGATCGGGCTCATTGAATGTTACTCATGCTCAATCCACATAGAGAAATGATGGGGTATCTCAATTCTTTTGGAGCGCAATCAGATAACCAAAACCATATTATAGTGATGTTCAATAAGTAAGTTAAATAATTTCTCTGCACTTATGTAACTTATTATTTTTATGTAGTCTTTCATATAAAGTTTCATACTATCATGTAAAGCTATCTAAATGTTGCAAAGCCAGAAAACTTTGTCTTGCATTCTAGTTCTATTAATTTTGAGAATGCATTTGAATGGATGATAATTAAAATACAGATTTATCATAAATTTATTTTATCAAATTTAGTATATTATATTATAACTAAATTATTTTTTTATCAAAAGAGTCTAAAACAATATAAAAGACTACAGATTGTGACTATAGCATCATGAGGTACATGAAAAACATAGTTGAACATGTGCCGGTTGACAAGATTATGCCTAATCAAGTATGTCTTCTATCTTTACCTTATTAATTTTAATAATTTACATTATATTACACACACTACACACTTAATTAAGCTTGATTTATGTTGTCATGTTTGCCTTAACAGTACTATGGGAATGCATATGTAGAGGAATACACTACAGCTCAAATTGAACAAGTCCTCAAATAGTTGGCCTAGAGTGTTTATTCAAGCAATGGGTAAAAAACAAAGAAAGTGCTCATTAGCTTGCTCAATAAATAGGATTATTTTATAGATTCTTTATACTTAGACAAAACATAGTGACTTTGGCCAGTTTTGGTTTTTTTGTTAACTTTGGCCAACTTAACTTGCAATATGTTTTATTTGGAAAAATTTTCCTTGTAATTAGTTTACTGTATAGGCATTTTTTAGACAATTTTAAAGTATTTGCAAATAGATTTTAGAAGTGATTAGACGGAAATAAAGTTGGATTTTAAAATATTGATCAATGCATACAAAATTTGGTTTCTTGTGGAATTCTATTGCTTGATATTGTTACTGGAAATGTGTCTATTTTGTTATTGCAAAGGGTTGCTAGAAATGCAAGCCCCTGTGTTTTCTTTTTTTAAAAAAGACTAAACTTTATAGCAATTATTTTAAAATAATTATTACTTATGTTGTTGGACAACATATAAAAAATGATCAAAATTAGGCCTAATTATACAATAGTTTGTGTGAAACAACCATTATATATTTGGCAGCTATTTAACGATTATTTTGAGATAACGATTTTATACTTTATTGAAAAGGCTTATGGGTACTTATAACTAAAACAGAGTATACAACAATTTATTTGTAAATAAAGTAATCATTATATAGCCCTGACTATAAGAACTGCTACATAGTTGTTTCTAGGCCATATACCATCAAAATATATAAAAATTTAAAACTGATATATATTGACAAATATAACTGTTATATATAGGCTATTTTTAATAGTGATTACCTAGGGTCGGAAAATGAGCCACTTGGTGTATTCAAGGAAAATTAATTTTCAACTTGCTGGGCATTGATTAACACTGAGGGGAATCACAGCGCTTGAAAATATTAGGGACAAAAAAACAAAAAGAAAAGGAAGAAAGGTACCAAGATGTTGGCCAATGATATCAACGTGGAGAATGGAAGTCAAGTCGTCGGGTGTGGTGTCTTCAGTTGCCGTCGGCCTCCTATGAAAGTGGTCTCTGATATCTCCAAATACGGCCATGCGCTTTAGCATCTTGAGCTTCCCAAACTCGGCCGCCCTGTGCAGTGGTGTTTCACCAAGTTCGTTTGGGATCTCCAACAACAAGTGATTCTCTTCTTCCCCGAAGCCCATCACAGTATTCACCATCTTCACATCGCTACAGTGAATGATCAGGTGAAGAAGTGTGTTCTTGCGAGAATTTCCCATCTGCAATGCTCGCTTGCGATCATCTTCAGTAAGGCTTTGAAGCAACTCTTTGAGGAGCTCAGGGCCGTCTGATTGAGTGGCGACGTGAATCGCATTGTTTCCTCTTAGATCGAAAGTCTCTTAACAGCAGACCTCTGTTGTCTTCCTTCTTGAAGAACTTCTTGAATGACTCCCAGTCTCTTCGTAGAGCAGCTCTTTGTGGTTCTCTCAGCTTTTCGTTAAGTTTTGGGCATTTATTGTCTCCATTGATGTTGCACTCTTGATCTCCATAGGCATATCTCCCACGGCTCTCTCTTCCCTTTCTCTGAGTC